GAGGGTGGCTATAGCTACCTGTTCGCACGGATGATGGAATGCTTTTTTGGAATTGCAAGATCCATTCAACTTTACCACCGGCTTCCCGTGCTCTTCCACGTCTGGCATGTTTCTATGCCAAGGGGGCTTGGAGGCAGTTCTCAGTGATGAGAAAGCACTTAGTCAATTGTGGTGCCTAAGAGGCGCAGCGGGAACAAAACCATGCTGCCTTTGCCAGAACGTCGTCGGCCACATGAAGCGAGAGAATGTGGCTGGGCACACATGGCTTGTGCACTATGCATGCTCTGACGGGTCGAAGTTTGCAAAGCATAGCTCAACTTCATTTCAGCATATGAGGGATGGATTGGAAGCGCTGTCTGGGAACAGAAAAGAGTGCGACAAAATGGGGCAGCTTTACGGCCTGGTGTACAAGAAAGCTGGGATTCTTTGGCATCCCAGCTTGAAACATTATGTTGATCCAACCAGTCAAACGTTTTTTGACTGGGTGCACATTTTGCTTGCTAGCGGGGGACTTGGTCAGTACGAGATGAACGATTATCTGAAAGTCCTTCAGTTGAACAACGTTGGCCTGGACCAGTTGGACTCTTTTCAACAAGGTGTGTGCATTCCGAAGGCCCTTACCAAGCTTCCCAAGTGTTTCTTTGCAGAACGCATTTGCAAAGACAATGACACGCACCTACGGTGCTTTGCAGGTGAGCTGTTGACGGCCATACCTGCCATGACCTTGTTCAACAGTCTGGTTTTGGAACCTTTGGGAATTTTGAGGGACCACCGGCTTTGTTTCCAGCAGTTGGCAACCATTATTGACATCTTGAGCAAGGGCGAGGGAGCATTGCAGTTCCTTCCTCAGTTGAAGCGCGCAATTTCAACCCACAATGAGATGTTTTGCAAGCTGTACCCAAATTGCGCGAAGCCAAAGTTCCATTGGCTCTTTCATATACGAGAAAACCTAGAGCAGTTCCAAGTTAACATGAGCTGCTTCTGTCCTGAGCGCAAGCATCAAGCAGTCAAGGCAGTAGCAAGCCATGTGCACAATTTCACCAGTTTGATGCACCATATCTCAATGAGAATCGGTTGGGACACCTTACAAGCGTTTGACAAAGGTGACTGCAACACGTGTAAACATACCCATTTGGATGGGTCAGTGCGTCACATTGCGCAGGGTGCTGAAATGCTGTCTTTTTGGAGTGATGAAGTTGTGTGCGTCAAGACTGCAAGAAGATTGGTGACACAAACTGGGAGGGTATCTTTGGGGGATGTGGTGTTTGCCCCCCAAAGGCAACAACTCTTTGTCCCACTTGCTTTTGTGGAAGTCACCTTGATGTCAGGGGAGTGCACCTTCATGGTTCAAGCAAACTGCCACGATCATAAGGAAGGGGCGCTGTTTGAAGGATCTTCTATGCAAACTTTGCTGATGTGGGAGTCTGATTTTAGATCAGTACACTACATTGTGAGGTCTTCCGGGCTATTGCACGCATGCTTGCACAATGAGGATGTCCTGGCAATGTCCCAGACTAAAGCTTGCCGCAAATTGATCCGACCGGCGTGAAGAAGGGAAACATTGCTGATATGGTTTGAGAGGGTGGAATGAGTTCATTGAGATCTCACAGCACTTAGGGTTCTGAGCTGATATTGTGATATATTATATTGTAAGTATCAAGTGAATGAGCGCGTCTATAAGAAAACGACACGACAACAACGCTGCAATGGCATCACAAGTTTTTGTGCGTGTAGCATTTCTAGGCTTGGCAGTGATTAGAAGCCTCGCCTCTTTCAGCGATTGGACGGCTCGCCCTTTTCATTGATCGACATGGTTGAAACCCCTTCTCAGGTGGATGTCAAAAGCGACAGTCAGTTCGATGGTGGGGATGCTTCAATGTGCACAGCTGATGAAATGTTATCAGATCACTGCTGCAGTTGCAAGAAACGCGTTGACCCGGAGAACAGTTTAGTCATTGTCAGAGCATCGGTTAAGACTCCAGAGGCTCGCAGGCGCCGCAGTTGCCACAATGTGCGTGGTGCCATCCAGCGGTTGGCAAACCGTCAAGGCAATCTTGTGAAAGAATTCACGTCTGTTTCAGGTGACCGCTTGCAAGAGTTCTACAGCAATTTCTCTAACCTCAGGGGTGAAGACCTTCGCATGAAGATTGAAGAAACGGTCACCGACTGGAAAACAGCAACGACAACATACAAGTTCACACAGGACGCTGAGTTTATGGACGAGATTGAAGTGAGAAAGAAGTATGTTGATCGGCCAAACGTGGCTGAACACATACTCCTGAATGGAAGACGCTTCTTTTGCCCAGTGAAAAAGGTCATGCTGTTTGCCGATCCCAAGTACAATGCGAAGGTTGAGGACACTGAGGAACTTGGCACCAGCACCAAACGCAAAGCGCAAACAGCCCTCAAGGAAAATGAAGAACCAAAAAAGCCGCCCAGAAAACCAAGAAAGGGACAGGAGGATAAGAACATAGAAGGTGAAGAGCCCAAGTTGAAAGCAGGAGAGAAAAAATACTGTCGAAGAAGCTGGAGATGGCAAATGCCAAGGATACTTTGCTGAAAGATGCGGTTGAGAGTCGTGAGAAGCGTCAAGTTTGGAGACATGATACCCTCATACGTCATCTCAGCTGCGCAGGCCTGCCAGCAGCCAGATGTTTTCAAGACTGTCAAGAACAGTGTGGACACTGGAAAAGGCAATGCCAGTCACTTGATGACCTTATTGGACGAGGCAATGGACAAGATCGTGGAGGCAACTTCCCGTCTGAAGGCTCAGCTGGATGCTGCAGAGGCATTCAACAAGTGAGGGCAAAAGTGCCGAGGCTCGCCCGGCAATAATTTTGATGGGATGATGGAAGAGATCATTTCGGCACATTGCGTTCTTAAATGCATTAGGTGCTCACAAGTGAAATTTCAATGGGGG